GTTAACAAAAAGATTTCTATTTTATTGCTGAGAAGGAGAGAAAAGCAACGAGAGAGATTTAATGAGATAAAATTGTTATTTATAAATTATAATATTGATTTTTGAAACTTTTAACAGAAATTACTATACCGCTCAAAAATAATGTGAATAATTTTTGAAGTAATTTTTAGTAATTCTGACTTTGGTATTCCATTTAAAGAATACCAAATTTTTTTTAATTACGCAAAATTTATTATTTATCTCTGACAGTTTTTTTCTGCTCGTAATAAGTTTGACTTTGGCAACAAAAAACTAAGCATTAGCAGTTAGTTCTTTAAAAGTGATCAAGTGTTCTGTCCCGCAAGACTTCAAACCTCTGGAATTTCCTTCCGTACAAGGGCTGCGAAGTTCTTGACATCTCCACAGTGACGCTGTTCCTCATCACTGATATCGTAAACCATTGCAAAGTATCCATCTTCATTGCTGTAACTTCATGCATTTAATATCTGCTTTAATTATTAAAAAATTTTTACAAGAAATTTTTTTGTATAAGTAGAAAAATTTAAATATTCGGCAGCTTTCAGCAGGTTACAGCAGTCAAAAGCATGAAAAGTATGTCGCGACCATACACGAAACGGCACTTATTACAGTGAGTGACGGACGGGATTATGTTGCCTGAGGGGACGCTCTCAGAGGAGCATAGTACCTCGGTTATGCCACCGGTGGAAATAGATATAAATAGTAAGCGACAGTTAGCTAATTTCAGTGTTTCAGTGTAATCAAATCTATTTTATTGTTGGCGTTCTTTATATGAAACTTTCTCTCTCTTAACGCGCTCATAGACAGTTGTGTGTTTATTATCTTTCTTTCTAGTAGTCTCTCTACTTATTATATTTCATTGTTGTGTATAATAGGTTACTGGGCTGCTTCAGGTAGTATTTTATATCTCTGTATAATCTGGTTCGTTTGTAATAAACTAGTTAGTAGGAAAGATAGTGACGCACGCGTAGTATTCGAGTACTTCCTCCTGTATGTAAATTTAGGTATATATACTAAGACTGAGTAGCAATGTTCCTAACTACTAGACTTGGCGTCTATCCAATACGTATCGGTTCGCGTAGGCTTAGGACTCGGAATGGTCTTAAGCTGGAGGTAAGGTATCAAGGTAGCTATAGGTTGGTGCTGTAGGTTCAATAACTGATTGAACTACAGCAGAGAGCGTAGTAGAGAGGTCCCATAGGACTTTGTAGAAGAGAAGCTGACGAGGGCGACTCTTCAAATTTTA